CCATTTTCTTGGGAAATTGTTTCCCTAATGAATTCTTGCTTGACTGTTTGACATATTTATTTATATTTTGACCGCGTCGCTTGTATGATTAGCGACGGGGTGATAGATGCATCTATGATTCACACCATTCGATCCACTGGCAGTGCACAATTTAAATATTATATTGGATCGAATCATACAACCTTGGCATGATTTGCGCATGCTTGTATTGCTTTGAAATTATAAATAATGATATTGCCTCCCTATCCTGAGATAAATTAAAAATTAAGGAGATATGAACTTGAAAATTTCTTATTATCAAAAGGGTTGTTTACTTGCTATATGATTTTTTTAATAAATCCACGGCTGATTATATTATTGGACCACTAGTAAGTGTCGAAATCGACCTCTCGTTACTATTTCTTCGAGGTTAGACTAGATACTTACTAGGTACGTGTTTTTTTCGTACTCATACTATACTTGCTGTGCATCTTTATTGCACATGCACATGTATGTCCAGTGGCCTAGTTGGGTATAGCGGCATGGTGGATACATATACTTAGGTGAGTTGTATCTCTCGAGACGACCCGCAGCCAGCAGAGTCTCTTTTAGAGTATTGTATTTTATTTCTATCCAATTTATATTCCGGACAGTTATTGTATTGTATTTTATTCCCTAGAAATTACTCTTGCACTTGTGACTCCGGGTTCTGGGATGTATATGGGATTATTCAATATTGAATTTTTTTGTTAAAAATATTATTATTTACTTTTTAATGTAAGGAAAAGGAATGATTTCAAAAATACAAAAATGAGGATTTAATTAACTCCTTGGTGTTGGCTTGCGTGACATAGGTGTCCGGCGCCATCACGACCCTTAATAAATTTTGGTTCATGATATTTAATATTATATATTCATTTATGTAGGTACACACGCAAAGCGTGCATACTGTTGTATAACACTATAAGTGGATTTCAAGCTGTGATACGGCTAAAGAGAAGTGGGACAAACTGAAAGTCATCTATGAAGGAACCAACAAAGTGAAAGAAACTCGGATAAACATATTGGTTCATGATTATGATCTTTTCTAGATGAAAGAATGAGAATCCATTAAGAAAATGTTCGCAAGATTCCACAAAATCATTAGCGATCTGAAAGCCTTTGATAAACCCTACTCAAGTGGTGATCAAGTCAGAAAAATCCTAAGGAGTTTACCTACCCACTTGGCAGACGAAAGTAGTTGCACTCGAATCTCAAGATCTAAACAAACTTTCATATGATGAACTACGATGAGATCTTATAGCATTCAAGAAAACCCATCCCAAGAAAACAAGTCAGGAAGAAAAGAAGAAAATAGTTGCCTTCAAAACTACAACTGAAGGACCTGAGAATGATATTGATGACGATCCAGAAGTTTTTGAAGAAGAAATTATCATGGTATCAAAAAATATGGATGGATTAATGAGAAGGTATAAAAACACAAGAAGGGGAAAAATGCCATCTAGGCGAACCAGGTAATACAATGAACAAGACAAGAATGACGGGAAATGTTATGAGTGTGGAAAGTATGGGCATGTTTAAGCTAAATGCCAAGATTTCAAAAGAAAAGTCTCCAGAGGGTTCAACAAAAATAAATCCTTCAGAAGCTAGAGTGATGAAGATAGTTCAGAACACGAAGAAATAACAAATCTATGTTTCATGACCATCCTGGAAAACAACATGAACAAATACTCTGGTTGTTGGACTGATGAAGATACATCATATGATGAATGCAAGGAAGATACTGAAAATTGTTTCATGGCACGAGGTGAAACAAGCGAGGTAAAATCCTATAACTGTGATATATGTAATGAATTGCAAGATATTCTTGACCTTACCCTAAAAAAGTCTAAAAAATGTTGAATAAACTAAGGAGACTCAATAGGGAAAAGAAAGACTGGGAACTTAAGCTTGAAATCTTTGATATTGAAAGAGACGTACTTCAAGATAAAGTTTAGGAATTGCAAATGAAACTTAATGGCATGCGCAAATCCACCAGTCACAATTCAGACAAGTCTAACCAGGTGACTTGCAAGTCAACTGGAAAAGGACTGATTAGAATTGAGTCCATAAGTAATTGGTAGATCGAAAACTGGACCAACCCCTGTGTGTCATTACTATAACAAAGTTGGACACAAATATTCTTTTTGTTGATTTCGTAAATCTAATGTTTCGGGATGGATTTGGAAATCCAAAAAAAATCCTGATTCCAGTAGAACTAACTAACAAGGACCCAACAAGCTTGGGTACCTAAAAGAAGGTGACAATTCTATTTGCAGGAACACCACAGAAAGAGCTGCAAAGAACTATACTATATTAAAAGCACGAAGGCTTAACGAAATATCGTTCACCTTTTTTACCCTTTAAAAACTAATTTCACATTAGATAAAATAGTAATTTAAGTTATTTTCCTAATATGTAGGTATAGTCCTTTAATTATTTTCTAATATTTAGGAATAGTCATTTAATTATTTTCAAATATTTAAGAGTTCAAAATATACTAAATTTTGTATTTTGAATCTTTCCTTATTGAACAACTATGTAAAGTCCTATTAGTTAGCATGTTAAAATCAATAAATAAATTTACCTTATATAAATTAAACAATTCACTTATAGTATTATTATTTTTTGTGCGTAGACATACAAATAAGAAACGTATTTTATACATGTTAATCTTGACTCCAAACCAACGTCTATAAACTATTATCTATATCTATCTATGTATATTATATTAAAAGGAGAGTAGTATGCATTGTGGTTAAGCCAAGTGGCAAGCTAAAATGAAGGCATTTGACAATTTTAGGACAACATTAAAAATTATATATAGAAACATAATTAATGAGGTAGTTTAATGAATCTTATACATAATCTAAATAGATCTAGACAAATCTAATCTATATATCTATATTTAAATTATATGTATATTTGTATCAATATCTATATTTATATTTATATATTGATCCACTCATAAATTTTCTTCTATGTTAGCTAGAAATATGGAGGTGAAAAATTAATTAAAAACTATAATAGAATATATATATATATATATATATAAAGACGTAAATTGAGATAACCTATGACTATTTATATTTTGGAGTAAGTTAAAATATAAAATAAAACTAAAAATTATTTAAGATATTAAAGATTTATTGAGTTTAAAAACAAACTAAATTCAAGCAGCAAAATAAGATCTTACATAAAGTATACAAATTAATTATAAGGTAAGAGAAAAATTAAATAATCAACAAAAAATATTTTAATAACAAGAAAAATAAATTCATATTAATATTGATAAATCGTGCAAACAAATATTTTATACGTAACAAACAAGTTTAGAAAAAAAAGGGATAATAAGCAAGACATGCTGAGATTAGCTCTGCAGGCGCATGTTAAGCAAGTTTTAGCTAACCTGCGCTTCAGCCATGGCTAGACATAGGAAGAAGCTTCCATCGCCATCGAAAGCTAAGGAATATGAAGGGAAGGAGGAAACACCTGCTCACAATCAACCTAGTCGCTGGTTAACATGAATGGGTAGTATACCTACAGTTATTCATAAACCAGCAAAGGATGGGGAAATTGACAGAACGATAGTGACGCTGGACACATGTATTCAACAGAGATTACTTCCAATAACTTTTGATAGTTTTTTGCCACAAAAATTTCAGCCAATTAAGGAAGAAATTGAAGAAAATGAAGCGCAAACTCTGCTGAAGGAAACCACGGAAGCTGCGCAAGTCCATCGGCGATTGCAATTTTCAGCACAGGTAAACTCAGGGCAGATCCGACAAGATATGACATGTCCAGTGGAAGTTGAGAGGAAAAAGGAAGCCATGCAGAAGAATCGAAGCTCTCAAAGGGGGAAAACATTATGCTATGTACCGCCTGCTATGAGGGATGGTACTTTTGTCGTGCAAATTGAAGATGAGGATACGAAGGAACAAGAGACCTACTAGAGCACAACTTCGATTGGGTTGTGCTAGGTGACAACCCTTATGAGAAAGCAATGGACAACTATGTCACAATGTATGGAATTTTGTTGAGAAGCCTCAAATTCTATATCATGAGGATTGATACTATATTTTCAGATTTGAAAATACTGAAGATAGGGACCTAGTACTCCAAGCAGGACCTTATACATATCACAACAAGCCTTTTGTGCTGCAACAATGGAGAATGAATTTCAAATTTGATCCAGAAAGTGTGAGTATGATTCCCTTGTGGATCACATTTCCAGGTCTACCACTGGGTTTTTGGTCTACAGAAGCACTCAGTAAACTAGCTAGTGTTGTTGGGAAGCCTTTGTACACTGATAAGATCACTGCTGAAATGGAAAAGGTGTCCTATGCAAGAGTTTTGGTGGAAACTGACATATCCCAACCACTACCAGATAGTTTTGAAATGCAAACTAAGTGGGGAGTAATAATTCAGCAAATTGAATATGAATGGAAGCCAAAGTATTGTTGTGACTGCATTAGATTTAGGCATAATTCAAACGAATGTTGGCTCAAGGAAGTGCAGGAAAAGGCAGTAGAAGTAAAAGTCCAACAAAGGGATATTGAGAAAAAGAAGCAACAACACAGAGAGACCTTGAAATGGATGCCAAAAGATAAGAGGGAGGATGATGTGATTCAACATACTAGAAATGAAGGGGACATGCAACAAACAAATGACAAAGGAGATGATAAGCTTACTGATAATGAAAAAATGAAGGGGAAAGTGTACAACAAAGTACAGTAGTTATGATGCAGTACACAAACAGGTTCTCATTGCTGCAGATAGAAGATGATCCAGGGGACGCTGGCCCATCCAGCTCCACCCAAAAATGATCCTATGCACCTGGAATATAAGGAGTCTGAACAAGGCGCATAAGCAGAAAGAGTTAAAAATCTTTCTAAGGAAATATAAGGTTGAGTTTATAGGCTGTTTAGAAACAAGAGTAAAGGAAATGAAGGCTAACAGGATAATGAATAAAGTATGCAGTGATGGAGATTTGCTGTAACTACAAGGAACATCCAAATGGAAGGATTTGGCTATTGTGGAAACAAAATGTTGAGGTGCAGATACTGTTGCTTGATGAACATTCTATACATTGTGAAGTCCAGGAAAGAAGTTCCACTTTCAAGACTTTGATAACTGTGGTGTATGAAAGTAATGAAGTAAACAAAAGGCAGCAGTTATGGGATAAACTTGTGAATTTAGGAGCAACTATTAAGGAGAGTTGGCTACTTAGTGGAGACTTCACTAATGTCATCCACACTGATGATAGGATAGGGGCTCCAGTTACACAAAGTGAGTTTAAGGGGTTTCAGGATGCAATTATTACCCTGCAACTCACACAATTGAAGAGTTTGGGATGGTTCTATACTTGGTGCAACAAACAACAACTGGAAAAGAGGATATACAGTAGAATTGATTGGGAACTGGGAAATGTTGAGTGGATGCAGAAGTACAGTCATATTGAAGCAGATTTTCTAAATCTTGAGGTGTCAGACCACTCCCCTATTCTACTACAATGCAAGGTTGTGGATCAAAAAAGGAACCTGCATCCTAAACCTTTTAAATTGTATAGCTCTGTGATGGATCATGCTGACTTTGCAGGCATAGTGGAAAATGTATGGAATCAAGAGGTAAATGGAGGCAACATGCACAGGGTATGGAATAAGCTTAAAGATTTGAAAACTGAACTGAAGGAATTGAACACTTATACAGCTTCCTATAGGCTTCAGCTCATAAGTCCAAGCAGAAACTTGAAGCCATTCAGAGTGAACTAAAGCACAAACATATGGATCAAAAGTCGATTGATCAAGAAAAAATGACTTTGATGGAAGTAGAGAAATGGAGCAGCATAGAGGAACAGATTCTACATTAGAAATCTAGAGCACATTGGATAGCTTGCGGAGACTCAAATTCTAAGTATTTCCATGCATAGTTGAAGCTGAGGACAAACACAAATACTATAAACTCTATCTACACTGACTTGGGAGACAATGTATCTGATCCTATACTGGTGGAGGAAGAGTTTGTCAAGTTCTTCAGGAAGCTACTGGGAGAGAATAACACTACATGTGAATGTCCAAACTCTGAGGTCATACGTCAAGGACCTTGTCTTAATATGCAGAAGAAGAAGGACCTAATCAAAGTAGTTACAAGAGATGAAATACTTCAGACAATAAAAGATATGCCACATGATAAGGCACTAGGAGTGGATGGGTTTCCAATTGAATTTTTCACAAGACATTGGCAAGTAGTAGGTGATGACATATATGAGGCTGTGAAGGATTTTTTTGTGACTGGGAGGCTACATAAAGGAGTGAGCAGTACTGATGTAACACTAATTCCTAAAGTGCAAAATCCTAGTCAAGTTAAAGACTATAGGCCCATAGTGTCACACCTCCTCTTTTCGCCCGTGCCGCCGCAAAGGGGCGCGGAAGGGAGTTTTTCCAATTAAGGGACAATCGAAACAAGATTTATTTATTTATTTTAGAGTCACCACTTGAGAGATTTATGGTGTCCCAAGTCACCGGTTGAATCCCGAATCGAGGAAAAGAATGACTCTGTTCAACAGTCTGCGCACCAAAAATCCGGATAAGGAATTTTGTTAACCCGGGAGAAGGTGTTAGGCATTCCCGAGTTCCGTGGTTCTAACACGGTCGCTCAACTGTCATATTCGGCTTGATTATCTGATTTTGTACAATTATGAACCTATGTGTAAATTTTAACTGTTTACTGCTTTTGTTATGATTTATTCAAAGAATTGCAACGTCGTGAGAATGCATCTCGAATTGCGCCACATAAATGTACCCGCAATTTTTGCAACATTCCAACTTCGTTGAGATTTGGATTTGGGTCACATAAATGTGCACCCGAGTGTAGGAAAATAACATTATTGAATACGCGCCTAAAGACTAGCGTATCATTTATTTTAGGTAAGGCCGTGAAATTTTTCTAAACGGTCCATCCCGAAGTCTAAGTAATTTTAAAACAAATATTTATTGAGGACCCCGTAATTTTGTATTTTTATTCGGCGAGGCTCATCTCATTCTTATTATTAAAAGGGCAATCCTAAAAGTGACTAAGGTTTTCTATTAAATTTGTCTCTAAACATGAAAGAAGACAAAGTCCTAATTAGTTTACATGCTTGAAAAGTCCGGGCCTTTTAATAATTTTTGCATATTTGATTAGTTCTGAAATGTCGTTACAGCGTAAAACGTACAGGAATCCTGGCATGTTTCGAGCCACAAGAAATTGTTAACTCACCAACTCACGACTGCCTATCCTTACTCATTACTTTAACTAACAACCTTAGACTTACAATCATGCTTCTTTTTCCTTAACATGTTGCAGTACCTTTTTTAAGTAACAATTGATGGCAAAATTAATGCTAAGATCTAGTTGACCAAGAACTCACACAATCATGCTATAATCTAAGATTAGTTAACAATCTACTAGCTATTTCAGGGATCCAACCACAAGTGCTGCTTTACAAATTATCGGAAGCTATATCCAATATCCATTACGTGGTCAAGTTATGATTGAATACGAGCTAAACTACGTTATTCCAACAACACGATTTAACGCATTGCAGTTTTCTGCAGCCCATTACAAATAACTAGAATGATGAAACTATATTTTTTACAGATTAGAGATTCAGTAATGTTTTAAAGAATTAAATAAAATAGTAACAAAAAGCTTCAAACAAACAGATTGCTTTTCTGGTTTTCATTTCAACTTCAACTTTTCACATGAACTCATGCTTCACATTTCAGCCTACAACAGCCATGATAAAGTCGTGTACCTGGTAGAAGAACAGAAATATAGTAGAAGAGGAGTCAGTAGTAGTAGTAGTAGTAGTAGCACAACAGCAAATTCAACAACACAGCAGCACCCAAGGAAACCAATAATAATAACCAGTAGGAGACAACAATAAGGACCCAACGACAGATTCTTAAAACCAAACAGAAACCCAGGAGTAACCAAATGGAACAATGCTTAACCAATAGAAAACTAGGGACTAACAAGCTGAAATCCAGCAGTACCAACAGAACACAGACAGGTGCAAGAAACAGTAATTTCTGATTTTTTTGTTAAACACTCAAAGGCAAAGACAAGCTGAAGTTCTTTGATGTAAAACTTATCATATATGAGGATCAACCAGCCTCAACACTCTTGTTTTTCTTTTCTCTTTCAGGATCAGAAAAACCAGCCTAGTTTTTTGCTTTTCCCTCTGAAAATCTCAGTCCCCCACCCTTTTCTAAATGAGCCTCTTTATAGGCAAAAATAGGCAAGCACCAGACTGCCTTGATACCTTAACTCTGCCCATACCCCTTAAACATGCTAAAACTAATCAGAAAATGCCCATGATATTCCTGACAGCCCCCATAACGCATGCTTTTCTCCTTTTTTTAATCAAAGTCATGGGTATTTTAACTTATCTTAATCAAACTCCCCATGCCACTAAATCTTGTTCCCCACTATTCTTAAACAATGTATCAGTTTAATGGTATTTTAATACCCTATTGACAACCCACTAATACTAAACATTTGTCAGACTTTGACACCCCAAATTAACCCTGAATCCACTGATTATTATTGTATTACCCTAAGTTTTAGAAATCTGAAGTTTAAACCTATAAAAGTTCAAACTTAACAACTGAGCAGAACTGATTTCTAACTATCTCCTAATTGCTCATTTATGGCTATAAACCAACATCCTAATACCAACTCACACAGATTCAATGCAGGAAACTAGACCAAATCAACAAGAGGGGCATCAATCAGAGGGACTGAGTTGATAACGCAAGCAGAAATGAGGATCAATCACATGTTCAAACAATTAGCAGGCTGGTTCTTAATCACAACACTAGAACAGAGAAACAGGGTAGGAACCCTACTAAAAAATGGAACAGGCTTTCTAGCATCCAAGCATGAAAAATCAATCGACGACACTTACGAAATCAACTATACTAGCAATAACATATAACAATTAATCGATAAACAAATAAGACTAAACAAGACACCAAATGATTTCAGCGGCTTTGCACAAAACAGGGAACCTACATGAATTAACCACTCGACGATATTAATCAAATCGAATACGTATCTTACCACACGTATTTAACAATGGTCAGAAGAATAGTCGACCAACTAAAAGGTCTTATGAAGACGAAGAGAATTGAAAGAAAAATAACAGAAAAATTAACAAATTAACTAGACATGCTAACAAACACAAATAGAATTCAAACAAGAACAGAAGGGAAAGAGAAACTTATCTTGGAAGCTCAAAAACAAAACGACCCAGGCTTGAACCAGACTCGATCATTTGAGGTCGAACGGACTTTAATCGAAGTGTTCTCAACTGAGAACACCTCGATTAAGGTCTATTAGACCCCAATCCTTTGTTGATTTGGACAGACCCCCAACTTTTGGATTTCTAGGGT